CCGCCTCGCTAATTGGACACAAATGATGTCAGCTGTCATTTATTTGTCAGTTGACTTTGCCCTGCTCCAGCGGTAATTAGAAGGCTGAGGTCTGATGTTAATTGGGCAACGCCTCACAGTTGCCACCACTCCTTACAACAGCCTCAGCTGGGGGAGGCTAAGGTGTTGCTACCTTATCGTTTATTATTTTCGATAAAGAAACTGTGGAAACGCCTAAGAAAAAAAAGTATTAAACCTCTTCTCAATTTTTTGGTTTTATTTTTATAATTACAAAAGAACAACAAATTTAACACATATATCTGACCTGGCCGCTAACACAAATTTCCTACCAATTTTAGAAAAATTTAATCTACTTTAAATAAATATATTCATTCAAAAAACAACTTTTCTAAAACTGGTGCGATTTGAAGGATTTATTTTTAGTTTCGTTGGAAATTTAATAACATTAAAAAAAAAACGCTGCAAATTATTTCACTATGGTTTATTATTTCCAAACAATTATACATCTAAAGTAACATTTCCTCCCTAGTTACAAAAAATAAATAAATAAATAAACAAAAGATGATTGCAATAGTTGGACTAAACTTTGTATTTATTTATTTATCATTAGTAATATGCTAACAAAAATAGAATTACTTCAGTAACACATTCAAAATTCAAAAACCAAAACAAAGAATATAACCTTTGCAGCAGAACATATAAAAAAAAAAAAAAAAAAAAAAACTAGAGACCATTTTTTGCTCTTTGCCAGATTTTAACGAATTTTTTTATTGTTTTTTAGGTAATTTCGTAAACTTTTAAAAACTATATACAATATCAACAAAAAGTGTATAATTTTTGAGTTATTGTGAATTTAATTTTACCATCTCTCGTAACTTTTTTTCCCAGCTCCTTTTCGTTGAAGTATGGCATCATATAAATAAAGTTAAAGGGCATCGAGAATAGGACTTTAGCTAAGTTTTATTGAAATCGGTTCATTCGTTTAAGCACTATAGTCTATAGCAAAGCAGGTTGTTCGGCCGCCATTTTGAAAGTAAAAGGCGGATAGTAATGTCGATGAAGGAGGATCATCCTCGAGTGACCTTTAATTTTATATCCAAATTTGAAAAAAAAATCCGCCCATTAGTTTCGGAGAAAATACGCGGACGGTTGACGGCGTACGGCGGACGGACAAAAAAGTTTGTACTCGTATTTCGAATTCTTCGTATCCTGAAACGTAAAAGCTCAACATTTTGAGAGAGGGTTAAATTTTTGAATTTTTCGGTCGATCACATTACGGAAAATAATAAACCAAAAGAAAATAAAATGGCTACAACTGTGTATTTTGGAAAAGAAGCTGATATTTTTATTTTTTTAATCAATTATTTTTAATGGTCTTGAATTTCGATTGTGTTGCATGTTCTGTTGGCTGTTGTCAATGAAACTGCTGTCATTTCAGAGTTTATTTTTTGCACCTAAAATTTCCATATGCAGTTAACACTCCTCATTTTCTTTTTTTCATTGACTGGCTTTAATTTATTATCTAAATTGGGATTCTCAGAAATGGTTATCCATATGTTCTACGAGGCATGTTCGGTTGATGGTAAAAATATTTTTCCTCTTTTCGCTCTGCTCAGTGATATATTTTCAAAAATGTACTGCATAGAACATCGTTAAGTGCTTATTTTATTAAAAGGTAATTTACTTAATGATTTATGATTAAAAAAATGTTTCATTATTATATATATAAATAAAGAGTAACTTTAGCCTGCACATGCACTGGGTTAATAATGGGATATCTGCATATATTTTGTATGTAACCTCAAATAAAGAGCAGTCATTAAGTGGCCACATAACAGTAATTTCTCTGTTATTTTTATCTGTGTTAAAATACTTGAATTAATTATGTTCATGAAGTGGAAATATAATACAGTTAGAAAATCTAGTGAATAAAGTATGTAATGAAAAAATAATTGGATAAACAAAGAAAAGTGTGAAGCTTAAAATGGTTATTTAAGAAGAAGATTCTGTTTACGATGGTACCAAATGTCGGAAGTGCTGGGGCCTGCGCTGAACGAATGAGATCGTAAAATTATTACAGCTTTCTGAAAGAGTCCACTTGAACCGAGAAGGGATATCATAAAACTCTAAGAGAGCATTTGTTGAGTTGGGAGTATCAATAATTTTGAATTATCTGACATACAAAAACTATAAAAAAAAAAATTAGAAAAATGAATATTTGTCGTATTTTAAAAAATAATTTAAATAATAATAAATAATCTATCAGAAGTAAATAAATAAAAATGTTCGAAAGAATAATGTTGGAAAACACAATACGGAATGCCATCGTGAAAAGATCGTTAATATAAGGACGTACTTTTTTGATCAAACAAACGTACTTTTTCTTTTGGTTAAATATTTCAATAATTTATTATTCTCTCCGACCGCTCCAACTGTTACTCAATTGAGGCTGGTGTTCCTCAAGACAGCGTCTTGGGTCCTATCCTTTACATTCTCTTTACCGCTGATATCTCTGTCCATCCCGATACTCTTCTTTCGCTGATGACACTGCTATTCTATCTTCCAACTCAGATCCTGAAACAGCGTCCGCAAACCGACAAAGGCACCTGAACCTGTGAAGAAATGGCGCATCAAGGTAAACGAATCTATATGTAAACACATTACCTTCACCCTTCGCCGTAATTCCTGTCCACCAGTTTATTTAACTCCATTCAGCTTCCTTTCTCAGACACTGTCCGATATCATGGCTTCCTCTAAGGCAAACGAGTAACGTGGAATTCTATACTAGACTTGCTACTACATACTAGACTTAAAATACAGTGACTTAACAGACCATATGGCCAGCTATAGAGACTGATAAATAGAAAATCTAAACTTTCTAGTGAAAACAAATTACTGATCTACAAGACAATACTGATACCCATCTGGACCTTCGGACTAGAACGGTGGAGAACAGCTAAATTTTTTAACATCAAACGCATTCAATCCTTTCAGTCTAAAGTCCTCAGTACAATAGTCGATGCTCCCTTCTATGTAACCAATAAAACCCTGCATAATGACTTTAATATTCCATTTATTCGTAATCTTATCCCTGACAAATTTTCCAAATTTCAACAGAACCTTACTCATCACCCAAATCCCGTTGTAAAATCTCTATCAAGCACCACCAATCCGTACAATCCCCCTTGTAGGTTAAACTGGTCCCGAGACCTTTTGTAAATATATATATTTTGGAGTTCTAGCAATGGCCAGATTCTCCACTCAAATCATGAATGTCTGCGGCTGTAGCGCTCATACTCATCCTCCGCAGCTTTTAAATACCAGAGAAGTGGTTGAGGGAGAAGAACAGGGATCTCCTAAGCCTCGCTTTTCCCTCCACATGTGGGTGGATGAGATTGGTTCCCTGGCTGATTTTAAGTAGTGTATATAGGTATGCTTGTATCTAAGATGTTTATTTTTCTTTTATTTCTATTTTTACTGACTTATGCATATATATATATATATATATATATATATATATTTTTACTCTCCGTATAAAATTGTATTTTGTTCCTATTTCTATGTCTTTTTTTTATAACTTTATTTATTTATGGTTCTGAATATACGGTGTGAATGTACTGTCTGAACTCTATCACAAGTGACCTTAACTGAGACAGATTGTAATATTTCTCAATAAAAAAGTTTGGAAAAAATATGTATTATTCTACCAATTCGATTTTTTGCAAATGTTCCTTCGCTAAAGATTTCAAACTATATCTAAGTGAGTTTGGGCTCCAAGAACCGGGCCAGCAAGGACCACGCGAATATCATTTCCATTTCCTCTTCACTCCCCCAGCCTTCCTCTTACTCTAATACTCTCTCATCCTCCTGGACTGTTCCTCTCGCTCTTCCTTAGTCCATTTTCTTCCTCGTCTCTCCCTCCCACCAACAAGAACCCCAACCCCTTTCAGTTTTTACCTAAAAAGCTCTCTATCCAAGCAATCTTTATCCGTAATTTTTAGCCTGTCTAGATCCTCTTTTATTTGCTTTACATAATCCCCTATACTTTTATATCAGCAAACTTTGTCAAAAATTTTCTTGTTCAGTCTTTCACTATTCATTCTGACCATGTGCCCGTAGAACCTCAGTCTTCTGGTTCTGACGACTGTTTCCAAATCTTCCAAATTTTTGTATATTTCTTTATTGGATTTTAGCCTGTATCCCTCTTGAGTTGGTCCGTGAATTTTCCTCAGAATCTTCCTCTTAAGCCAGGATTTTCTCTAGGCTCGGAAGACTACCATAATACCAACATTGTATTATTATACCCTTTTTTTCGGTTGGCGTTACAGACCTTGTAGATCTTTGACCGCGAGATGTGGTCTTCCAGACCTGACGGGCCTCAAAAACCCAGAGGGGGTCTCGGACAGCGTGGCTTTCCCTGGTGGATGGTCACCCATCGAAGTGCTAACCACGCTCGGAGTTGCTTAACTTGGTTACCTATTGCAAGCGCCTTAGCCCGCACGGCTACCCCAGCTCCCTTTTTATTATATTTAATGCATGGTTAAAAATTGCATGTAAGAAGTTTCGGTGGACTCAAAACTTGGTAGGGGCTCAGAAGAATGGCATAAGGTGTGCCATCAAGATGTTTGAGGGGAGGAAGCAAATTTTTATGTTTTTTCAAATTTTTTTTTAATTATGAACATTTTTAGTGGATTAAGATTTTTTCAAAGGAGTCATATTTTGTGGATTTTCATTTTGAAGGAACTTTTTAACCAGAGAACAAGGAGAAAAGATGAAACAGCCAAACTAGTGTAACTGTAAATTATCTGCAGTTTTTCGATTTCACTGTTTTTAAGAAAAGGAGAGGTTTAAAATTTCAGAGGGAGAGGGACTATGCGCTATTATCATTGGGGATCCAGGACCCCTACTGTTTTGGCCACTCCAAAATCATACTTAAGCAAAGGGATAATGTTAAAAATCAATTATGATGTTACAATAGTATTTGTAGGGCATTTACTTACCTGGTTGGACACTTCGTTGGCCAGCTGCTGCCACTCGATGGTGTTGTGGTCGAGAAGTTCCGGAACCCACTTGACCCCGCCGACGAGCCTGATGGTGGCTGCCATGTCGCAGTCCTTGGTGCAGATACCAGGGGTGGTGGGCCTTGGGGTGGTGGTGGTAGTGGTTGTTGTGGTTGTGGTGGTGGTGGTGGTTGTAGCCTCGGTGGTGCTTGTGGCAGCCGCTGCCTTCGCCGCCGCCAGGATCTTCTCTACAGAGATGGGGGTCGTCGAAGGTGTCGGCCATCCAGTGAATTCAGTCGTAGCCCTTAAAAAGTAGTACAAAATATACATATTCTTAATAATTCCGAAAATAATCCAACTCATCCAAAATCGATTACAAAAAAAAAAATTGTTGGTAACCTATAGATTAGATCTAACGTAATAAATTAATCAATGAACCATACCTTGTAGGCCATCCTTTCTGTATCTTAGGCTTGATAGGTGATAGACCACCGCCGGATTTCGTCCTGGCAACTCCAGGTTTTCTGTTGCCACCTGGTCTCGTCGGGAACACGACTTTTCCTGGAGCAGCCGTTGTAGTTGCTTCTTCTGTACTTGTGTTTTCCTGACTCGTCACATTCTTCTCTTCTGGTTCTGTAGCGTTGGATTTAAAATTCGGTGGAAGCAAACTGGATACGTCTTTGAACTCAACTTTCTTCAACAAAGAATCAAGGATTGTTTTTGAATCATTCGACTCTTCTTCTCTTGGTTTGAATCCAGGAGGCAAGAGATCAGAGGGGGTTTCAAATTTCACTTTTGGAAGGGTGGGCCTAATTTTTGGTTTAGCTGTAGAATAACCGGGCGGTAATAACTTACTTACATCCTCAATTTTAGGTTTTTCAACTGATTGAGATCCTGGAGTATAACCAGGAGGAAGTAGAGAGCTGACGTCGTCGAAGGTGATCTTGGTGAAGAGACTATCGATTTCTTTAGGCTTTTCGGAAGGTGAAGATGATTCTTTGTTATCTTTTTTAAAGCCTGGTGGTAACAGAGCAGGGTTGAGTTCTTGATATTGAAGTTTGTTTTTGGAAGAACTGCCTGTTGATCTAGCGTTACCTTCTCGGCTTTTTTCTTTTTCTGAGCGGCTTTGGTCTTTTTGCATTTGCTCCTGTGGCTTAGGCGCTCTAGGTTTAAATCCAGGAGGAAGAAGTCCTGAGAGATCATCGAACTGTATATTTTCGATGATGGATTTTTTAGGTTTGATGGTAGTTCGTTTTGCAGCTGGGACAAACTTGCGTACGAAAGAACTTTCAGAATGATCTTCTGTAGTAGAAGAGGTAGTTGTTGTTCTTTGAGTTGTAGTTCGAGTGGTTGTCGTAGTGGTGGGTGCTGGAGTTGTGGTTGTTGTCGTGGTCGTTGTAGTAGTTGTGATCACTGTTTTATTTTCCGATAACATATCAGGGATCTCTAGTTCAATCTTATTCCCACCAGGTCTTAGTCCTCCATTTAGGATACCACTTGATAGTTCCGATTGGACTCTGTCCAATTTATCAATGATACTTTCTGTGGACACGGGTTTAGGAGACATAGACTCTTGGGGGATATCCCCTGCCTTTTCAGTAGTTTGTTCTTCTTGGTCTCTGTTCGTTGTCTTTTCAACGTTACCACTGGACGTAAGAGGTTTCTGAATTTCTTCCTGCTTAACAACCCCCGGCAAAAATCTTGCGCCTGATACGCTTCGACTCGTCTGTACAGATGCTACTATCACCCAGCTTTCAGTCGTTTGACCAGCATCAGGGTCTTCTTTTGGAGCCGTAACTTGATTGCTGACTATTGATTTGACAGTGGTTGTTGTGGGGGTCTCTGTTGTCGTTGTGGTGGTAGTGGGACTAGTCGTTGTAGCTCTTGATGTCCTGAATGTTATTGGCCTCTGGGTAGTTCGTTGAGTTGGGGCTTCAGTTGTCGTTGTAGTAGTTGTTGTAGCCTTTGTCGTGGGGGCAGGAGGAATCACTTCAATTTTGTCCACGTTGGTTTCGGGTCCAGGAAGTAAGATGCGTGGGTGATGTATCGAAATGTTTCTCAAGTTGAAGTCGGGTTTGACAAGTGCGGCAGGGGTTTCGTCGAAGGTTTCAATAGTTTCACCTGGTTCCTCTGATAATATGTACTCCATATCGTATTCATTGTCAGCAGACGTATCGTATAGAACATCAGGTGACGGAGTTGTCGTAGTCGTAGTAGTTGTCGTCGTGGTGCTTATGCGAACAATATCTTCTTGAGGACGGAATCTTCCACGTTGTCTAGGGGAGTATGTAGAAGGTGGAGCGTACGTTGTAGGCTTTATCCTTACGTCTGATCTCGGGGGAGCCTTATAACGCGAACGATTTCTTAGAGATGGTTCTTCAGTCGTGGCGACTGGTCTTCTTGCAGAAGGTGGTCCTCGCGTAACCTTTCGTTCGAAGTCGTGGAAGAAAGGAGTCGAATTCGGAAAAGGTTGTGCGGTTGTTTCATCTGGTCTTTTAACTTTCTTATCATTTCCTTTCCACCGATTACTGTCGAGTTGGTCGACAATGCCTTGTGGGTGTTCGCCAGTGAATTGGTTTGTATTCGTTCGTACTTTGTCATCGTAGTCGTAATTCTGCAGTTCTAGAGAAGGAGATATTTCGTAAGGGAACCTCTGGGTCTGAGGATGGAAGGGCTGAGGTAGGTGCTGATTGGTGTGGAAGTTGTTCCTCAGATAGGGGTCGTACTGTGGTGGCAGCTGATAGGGTGACGGCTGGAATTCAGTATCTTGAAAGGATGATGCTGGAGCTGGAGCTGGAGCTGGAGTACCTCGGTAGGCTGCAGCTGAAGGAAAGAAGTTGGAAAAATGTTGTCCAGCTCGTTGTTGAGGCTGAAAATCTACGTATGTATGCCCAGTTCCACTGCTGCTATAATAGTAGTTTTGACCTGAAACAAATAAAAGAAAGAAAATTAAGCAACGAAAAATACTAGTAATGCTAAATAAAACATAATGAACTATAATACTATTTTTTATAATTCAAAAGCTAAAAATAAAGATTTTCTATATATTGAAGTCTGGGTGAAGTTCTGCATGAGCCTTCCTTCTGCTGTTCTCCTCCAACAGCTTATTATACGCCATCGAAGATGCCAATATGAAAGGGCTCAGGCGACAAGGGAGATCTGATTAGTCCGATATCAATAGTAGCTAATAAGGAAGGGAAACGTGACGAGGAAGCAAATGGCACACATACAGCTGATGCAAATTCAAGGAGGTTCCAATTAATATGCAGTGGTGTCTACAATGAAAAACGGATGCTTGCCATTAAACATTAGCTTAATGTTTTAGTTATTAAATAAATTTTATAATTTTAATTATACTAATAAACTCAAGCTAGAACTCTTGGATTAGACTTATATCCTTCTCTTTTATAAATTTGAAGTATAACAGATATTACGAAATATTTTTATTTCTGTAAATAATATATTATCATTAATATAGTCTACTCGAGCTGACCCACCTACACCAGCTTCTAGGGCAAATATCTGACAGTCCAACTTCTATCCCAAACTAAAAAGTACCGGAAACAAAAAATCAAACTCATTATAGAAGAGGCGGATCTATATAAATAAAATAGCGGTACATAAATTAGCATGGAGGATTTCGACCTAAACCTCATGGTCTGGGAATTGATGTAGATCCTCAATGCCCAGCCTGTAGTGTTCAGAAAACTGCAGAGCAGGCGGTCACGACCTGCACCACATTTGAAACGTTAAGAGCGACTATGGCCAGGGGCCCGGGGAATCTATGTCCTCACTGAAAAAGAGTTTCCTCAGTTAGTCAGCGCGGAAAATTACTCGCGGTTTAAGGAATTCATAAATGGATGGAAGACGGCGGTGGGAACCGATCACTTCTGTATTGGTGCCCGCAGAAGAAGAGGATAAGCGCCGGAAAGACTCTTGAAGCTAGTCCAAAGACGATAAACAAGCAAGAAGAAGTTAGCGTAGAAAAACTGTGTACACATTCTTTCATGATAAAAAACTCATTTAAATCAGACCATTATTAGCAAAGATACAGGTTTATGTACTTAGACATATAGTTATGTATACATGTTTTCCACATGTTTTATTATTATGAATGAAATAATGTGATTTGATTGAGAATACGAAAATTATTTCCACTATCTAATATTATATTGCATCAGCTTATTTCTATATTATATTGTCAATTGTTCACTGATCAATATACTGTGCGAATTATTCGCATGGGCTAACTAATTAATTTTAGTCAAGAAGAACAGTCGTCGCTAATAGCTATGGAGGTCGAAGCGAGGTTAAGCAACGTCAAATAATAAAAAAAAAATGTAAGATTACATGATTAAGGGCACCAAGATAAATACTAATACTGAGGGGACTGCGTTATGTTTTTTTTATATGAATGCAAGGAATTCTTTCTTAGGACTATTGAATTCGCAAGAATTTATATAAATGCATATTTGCTCGTTTGAGGCTTTGAACTTAGTTTTTTGTTTAATTTAAGGAATATTATTTAAAGATTTAAAAGATAAAGGATTCGCAATATAAATCCAAGACGACAAATGGGAACCGTGGACCGATTGGTGAAGCTGAAATGGAATTATCGTTGTACACGCATGAGTAGCTGTCAATTGGAGAGTACTCCCAGTGACGCTCGATAGTGGCACATCACTCCGCCACTCCAGCTCACAAATTGACTGATGGCTCCCAACGACTCAAGTCGGCTTACGTCAACACCTGTCTCGAGGGAGATTGAAAGCCTCATTTATCTTTTCTAATTTATTTGACAAGCTGCATAATTTCTAAAAAAAACTTTTTTAGGATAATCACAATTTTTAATAAAGTGTCATTCAGTGCTAAAAACGATCGAAAAGGGTTTTCTCATTAAAATACTAACATGATCTAAGAGATATAGAATAAATCCAGGCTAGAGTTGAAGGTGGGTGGGTCTCATTTATCAATTTTACGGGTTGGTAAATCAACTACAATACTAGGCTCAACCATTGCCACTAAGTTAAAAGATAATTATTTCGTAATATTGCTACTTTCGTATCATTAAATTCCGGAATTCATAAACAAAAGTTGCCATGTAAATGATCATAATCTTGTGTTATCGAACTTCGATAAGGACTTGAGGAGCGAGATAGACTCTCGCCGATGATGCCTAACATGGCCTTTGAGAAACAATCAAGAAGACATTGATAGACTCACAAAAACTCTGATATAATAAAAAGAGAAATGAAAACAAAACAAATTACACGGTAGTAAGTAGAAAATCCAGGAAAACAGCAGGATCTGTGAAAATCAAAAATCATTCCCAAGAGTGGACGGATTCAAATATCTAGCCTCTAAAATAATCTCAACGATTGATCAATTATTAACATTAGTCTAACATACAACAAGCATAAATATAGCTTTCTTCCTTCCCAGTGTAGTAAAATTAAAAATAATCTCAAGAAATATCAAATTAGCAGTGTAAAATGCGGTTTTAAGGCCAGCTCTGACACGCGCTACGAGAAATGGTCTCTGATCAACAGCCTAAAAAGAAGAATTGAAAGATTTGAGATGAAAGTTATAATCACAATACGATCGAAACTGTCTGGAATCACAATATCAACTCATGACGGAGAGAGGAAAATAAATAAATGCAAACAACAAAATCTGGTCCAATGTCGAATGATATGAAGACGAGGAGGTTTTAAAATGGGTGGGGTGAGGGGGAGGGGAATGTAGCTTGATGAAATTCATCAGAGATTTGTTTCCCATCAATTTATGTCGCAAAAGTTTGCCAAGGGCCACACAGGAGAACAAAATCTAGGTGGATAGATGAATTCAAGTAAGATACTGCAGCTAGTTGCAGCAAATTTGATAGCAGTAGCCCAAGATAGGTTAAGGCGGCTACAGATCTACTAAGTCTGTAAAGCCAAAAGAAAAATACAGTTTTATAGCAATCACACAAGTGCATTAATGAAAAATGAAATTTAAAAAAAAATTGTAGATAATCAAATCATATCAAGGCATTTTAAAAAAGTATAAAATTGCTTTTAAACATTTCACAAACTATGAGTAATGCAATTATCTAACAATAAACAAAAACACTAGCATAGGGGAAAAACATTTAAATATATGTGTTTCTCATAGTTTGTGAAATGCCTAAACACATTTTTACACTTTCTTAAAGTGCCTTTGTAGCCTCATATAGAATTTGTAGTTATTGTAGAGGACATGTACCTTACCTTCTCTAGTATTGGTTCGATTTCGATGAATTAATATGTATATATATATATATATATATATTTAGAATTCTAACTACTTTTATAATGATAAAATATGTAATATAATGCATAATTTTTGTGTCAATTGCAAAAAAAAATTTAATTATCGAAATTTTTTTTAAAATGTTTTTTCTCAGTGCTGTGATCGACTAGCGAAGACTTTGCCATAACAAGGATTTTATACCTATTAAAATAGGCTCCTTAACTGGTTGCGGTAAAATTAAAAAAAAATTGATTTAGAAATGAATGATAGTTATAATGTAAGAATATTAACTGCCGAGTACTTCTCATCCAGACCAGTTTTCCTCATATAGGACAGTTCACGGATATTGTCCCTACATCTTCCTTTTAGACTTCCAAGCGCCCCCTCCCCCCATGTCATCAGAAGTACGAGGATGTATGCCCGTCACGAAACTCGTTTCTACCATTCCTTGGCACAAGCTATTGAACTCTTGAAGACGGCACTGAGGCCTTCAAGCCTTTAATATTGCTGCCTTATAACGTGCTCTCATCAAAGATGACAGGATGTGTACCCATTATAGTTAATAGAGGATTTCTTAAATCAATCTTGCTTTCTCACTACATTTGCTTCCGTACCTGTCTGTTCGTAGTCAAATCTATGAGACGTAGATAATAACAAAGCTATAATATAATTATAATTAATAAAATAATTATAATAAATCTCTTACCCTTAATCTGATTTTTATGAAGTGTTCAGAGATTGTACTGGTTTTAAACAGATGGCCCGATATCAATATTAACCACCCAAATTTCAAAAATGGATCTTCTGATTTAGAGATTTTTATTTATTATTATAAGTTTTATTTTATTTTTATCAATGTCCTAGATTGTATTAATTTCATTCAATAAAATTCTTGTTGTTATTAGAAAAAAAATTATTTATTATTATTCTAGATTAATATTTTGGACACAAGTAAGTGGGAAGTTGAGGTCTAGTTTCAACATGGTCCAATATCAACGCATTCACAAATATCTTATTCTTGAACACCTGTTTTTTTGTTTAATTATTCTCAATAATTAAATAATTTAACTATGATTAATTATGTAACAAATAAAAATAGTGAGGAAACTAAATTATAAATTGTAGCATTTAATTATCAATAACAATATATATCGAATAAATGTTTCATTTTCCAATAAGTTCTTTTCTTTTTTATTGTTTACAGGAATTGTCCTTTGCACTCAGAATCATAATCATGGTAGTTATCTAAGATTACATTTGACGGAATGTTTCTTTCCAGAAACCAATGGAATATGAACAAAAACATTAAAGATTCTAAAGAAAAGTTGATTAAAAAAAAAATGAAAACTGTTCACTGGCTGTTGTAAGAAAATAAACGTCTTTCCAGAAGAGTAAGGGTTATTTCTCATGTGGAAGAAATGTGTTTTTTACTCTTCTCTTTATGTTCTTGTTTTTCTCCTTTCTTACCAGTTTTTCCCAAGTAAGGAAATGACGCCTCAACAGTATTTCAGGATATTTCCGCATTAGATTGCTAGTACTTGAGCGTGGGACTTACATTATTAAGAGAGCCACGGTACATTTAGGATAATAATATGAATTGGAAATACGTTTATACTAAAGTAAAAAAAAAAAATCAATTGAGGAGTGTTCAGAAGGCATGGAGTCCTGCTCATAAAATATGAATATTGAGTTCTTTTTATTTAAAGTACTTTTACTCGGAAAATTCTGGTAGCCACCGTGAAATGTGTAAATTATTTTCTTATGCAATTGTTAATATTGTCTGGCTTTTATTCTTAAAAACTTAAATACGTTCTAAGAAATATTATATTAATGTACCTATATTTTGGCGATGTGCTGTTGTTAAATTTTGAAAAATAGTATATAACTACTTTTGGCACTGCGAAAACGTATTTTTTATTGAATTTCTTTGCCACTGCGGACGTATATATTTCTATGTCAATTTCTGCATTTGTCCATTTTTGAAGAAAAGTACTCAATATGAAACCGCTAGCTTCTGAATTTCCCAACGTATGAAAAAAAACAAAAACAATTTTTCATATTTTCCGATAAATATTTTTTTTAGTAGGAGTTGAACGATTATTTTCAGGTAGTAAAACTTAAGAAAATATAGGAATAAAGTTTTCTATAATTTAACATACTAATAATTAGTATTTATTTATTTTCTGTCTCCTACATATTATGATGGAGTAAATTCAGAATGGATGTTGATACAAAAAGTAATCTAAGTTACAACTTAGATTCCATTTCTTGGCTATTATTTTTTAATTAATTTATAAAATAACTATTAATTTTTTATTAATCTCAACGATTCTATTCATTAACTTACACAATAATCTAATTAATTTTAAGGTGTTATTTTTTTCATTACTTTCAATCAAACAAATGCTGATACGTAATTGTTCCTTGGCCTTAATTGGAACTTAGGAATTTATCATCACTGTTCGTCATTCTGAAATTAATTTTTCACATAATAATGAACGTTCGCAATGGTTTAAAAAATTTCGAGAGGCAGATTTCAGCCTTGAAGAAAAAGACTTCTTCTCTCGATTTTGATGTTTTGCGAGGTCGAACAAAATCCCAGTAAAATAGTTCGAGAACATGCAGAGAAACTCTCTCTTAGCGAATCGGTGATCCCTGACCACCTCACAGCAATTGGAAAAGTAAACAAGCATGAAACTTGGGTTTCTAATAAATTAAACGAACGCTCTACCGATCTCTATCTTACCGATTACCATTTTTTTAGACTGGGATACATTTTATAAAGTGAAAATTTGATTGATCAAAACTTATTAAAAATGATCGTCTGTAATCGATTCACCATTCTATTTAGAGCGAATGGAAAAATTATCAACGCGTAGACAGAAATGTATTGAGAGTTTTAGATGGTATTTTGATTAATAACAATAGTTTCATATATATATATTTTTTAAAAGCATAAACCTGGATTGATTTCCGGACAGCTCAATAATATCGATATCACATGGGCCATTCGATAGGAGGAGATATATGAAGATAGAGGACGGATACCGACCAATGGACAAACCAAACAGAGAGGGCGCACGCTTGGTCGAGTGTTGACAACCGCCTTAGGACTCGACCAGACAAACATCAATAATGGCTCCAATGCCTGGAAGATCTCATCCACCAAACCCCATCGGCAACTCCTGGTTCCATTATCGATGTACAAAAATAGATAAAAGAGTATCTCATGATATGATTCCTAGGAAATATCATTTGATGTGTTTAGATTTGATACGTGAAAGATTGTATTTTTGGTAAAGATATCTGCAATATGTTATGTTATCAGTTTCATTATTTTATTTATTGTATATTTTTCCAACTGAATACATTATCGATAAAGCCGAAATTCAGTGCAAATATTGAAATCCGCTGATAATACAATATTACGGGGCTGATAGAGGATTAGTTAATACCTAAGTGTAAGGTCAGACCAAAAACTTCGTGGCCGTTGAGACGAGTGAAAATTGCCAAGAAATATACTTGCCAAAAACAAGGATGTATTATGTATACCAGGATATTTTAGGTATATTCCATTATGGAAGAAAATATTTTTAGCCTTATAAAATGTTGTGAAAGCTGCTTCCCTATAGGATAAGTAATTCAATTTCCAAAAAAAAAAAAAAAAAAAAATGGTTTATATTGCCACTACAAATAAAACAAAGTAACAAACTTTTAAAAATTCATTCTTTAATTCTGAAGCTTCTCAACCATGATTCTCCTGGGGCTGGCGCATAACTGTTCGGTCCTTTAAACAAAATAACTGGGAAAATATTGAAATACTTTAAGAATAGAATTATAAGGAAAATAGTGAAACTGATTGCGATGTAAATAATAAAAACATAGGATATTCAATCAGGTCTAAATTTATCAGCAGTTAAAGATTTTCTTCACTAAACTTAAGATATCATTTTTCGGTCCGTCTCGACAGCTGGATAGCATTCATTTTAACAGAAAATATTTCAAAACATTGGCGCCAGTTAACACAGGTCTACTTTTAAATATAGTAGTAAGAGTCCCACCATTGAATAATGGAGTTATAATAAGTCAAATTCACATGATATTAAAAAATACAATACACCTTTTTAGCAGTAAATGGGTTATTAAATATGCAGAGAAATATTTCAGAATTTAAGAAAAAATGTTAAAATTGAACTTAAAAAAATCTTTTTAGCATATTGGAATCGACACAGTTTATTTTCATGACTAAGAACAAATATTTGTTGCGTTTTCTGGAACATCTTTCTGAGAAAATCCATGCTTACACTGGACAAAGAAATTAAAATATCATTTATGGTAAAGCACTACAAATTCACCTTTTTAACTTGTTTAAAATATCAGGGGTTCATGCTTTGTCGGTATAAATCCATTTAACTGGAGACAAATGTTTAGTCAGTTTTTTAGTGACAAGTGTTTTTTTTTCTCATAAATTTCGAAAGTTATGCAGTAATCATACGCATTTACAGTCATCTACTCATCATGCTTATGAAACAAGTATGCATAATAGAGGATAAGCGCGGATGAAACCACTACCGATGAAACCACTTTAAATACCGATCCAAGTTTAAATTAATTATATTATATTAATATAATATAATTAATTTAAACTTGTTAATATGTCTAACAGGTATGTTACAAGGTCCTGACATGAATTATATAATATTTTACTTTATATGAAACTATTTAAACAATAGCTTTCCTCCATAAAATATTTCTTGAGTCAAGATTAAAACGGTTGGAAGTTTGGAAGAACGAGCCATGAAATCTTTGTGAAATCTGGAACAGCGTTCTGTGCTCAACCCTCGAAAAGTTGGGCTCGGAGGAAGCACGGTGCATAAAGGAGTAGGCAGTTGGCGGGGGGTCCCTTCTCCTCTTCAATAATTAATAAAACTCGGAGAAAAATTCTGAAAAGTTTTGATAGAATAATTAATGAACCAATTAGTTGAATAAATAAGCGAATTCCTTTAACAAAAAAAAAAAAAAAATCTGTTTCTGCTTCTGATGAATTCAATCTTGAATATAATTATTCACAAAAGGTTTTCATTATATCAGAAATATATTTTTCTTGGTGACTCTGCTACACTTTTTTTCATTAATATAAAGTTATATTTATATAATATATGTTTATAATTAAAGCAACCCTTCGTGGGTCAATCAGTTGTGATAATTGTGTGATGAAAAGATGAGAGAAAAAATTCGTTTTTTAACTTATATATATGAACTTTTGTTATCCAATATCCAAAAACAAAAACTTCACAATAATATATAAAATAAAACTAAATTATACTTTAAATGAGGCAGCAAAAATTAAGAATTAGGTTAAGAGATATCGTCGAAAATCAAGGTAAAAAAAATGACAACGATTTTTACCAATTATACCAAAGCAAGAATTAGTATAATATACTCAAATTTGTATAATATACTTTTGTTAGGCATTGAAGCATAACACATATAACTTCTGTTAGTGCAAAATATTGTATGTAAAAATTGAGTTTCTTTTACACAAAAACATGTAAAAACCAATTATATTTTTAAGATTTATTAGTATAATTTTCTATTGTTTTTTCCTCTGCTATTTTCTTATTTAACAGATTTATAGCAGTTACTTACTACAAAATGTGGGCTTTAGCGTCAAGAGAATAAACACTCAAAATTGTTACATAAGACATTTGTATTACCGATATGTATATTCATATGTCAGTTGCTGCAAATCCGAAAAATTATCGATTTGCCACTTTTCAAGTGGTGTAATTGACCTATTTTTAAAACTTTTGTTAAAAATGAACGGAGGATTTGATGTTATGCAACGTTTATTCTGTGAGTTTTTCACTTGAAATTAGAATATTCGTTCCCAAGCTACAGATTCATATAACTAACATTTCTCAGTTTTTGATTAATTTGCTAAAATTGTTCTTTTTAAAAAACTGTTTTCAGACTATACGACTTTAATGAATTAAGTTGCGTTTTTTAAATAATTTTATGTTCTTTAATTTGTGATATCGTGTCGTTCAGGAGTTATAAGAGAACCAACAAAAAAAGTAAACAAAATTTTAAGATTTTTTTTACTACCGAATGTTCTCCAGAGGTGGTCCACGTTAGCATTTTTGTTATTTTCACATACTTATATAGAGTACAGGAATGTATTGAGATCACTAAAAATATCTCATCTGTTAAAAATAATATTTAATACAAGTATTTATTACCCTCATTGAAATAATCTAATTGGGCTTCAGAATTTCTAATATCTAATATTTAAAGTCGTTTGGGGAGTAGTGAAAAGCAAAACAAAAAGACTATATACTATTAATTGTAGTAGTTAATTATGTTTAATTTTATGTTATTGAATGGAAAATTTTTTTTTTCGTGGAAATATTTAAAATTCATTTTCAGCTTGATACCCCAAACAATAATTAGTGCATATAATTTTCCTTCATCATATTAACTGTCGTAAGTTTATATTTATAATTCAAGTAATATTCTTAAGGTATATTGTATTATTTAAATTCAATTTTAACGAAAAGTTAGATATTTGGATACTCCTCAAGATATATTTTTTTTTTACTTGGGTGTACTTAATTATGTAAGGTAACAAAATAATTATAATCAGAGATCGAAAATTTCAATTAGAATCTGAAAATAAATATATTTTTTATAAATGTTATATATTCTTAAATAATATTTCATGTATTGAAGTAAAAGAGAAAAATGAAGTCGTGTGAGAAAATTTACCAATAAAGAAAACCCCTCCTACATCCGCGAGAAAATGTTCTTTTAAGGCAGAGCATGGTAAATGATTCGTAACGCTAGGGTGCTTTTTGCTGATACGCTAAAACCTATTCCATCTAGAACCGAATGGGTTTTTAGTATCCTTTCCACATAAGAAATGGCTCAGCTCGCTACTTTATCGCGGCGGCTATGAAAAAAATAGGGGTGGGCCATTTCACATTATACGATAACAATAAGTATAATTTTTATAATGTAACTGCAGCTTAAGATAAAGTTTACGTTATTCACTGATGACTACTAGAAATAAATCCTCTTATGTACACATTTATTATTTAAAAATAGAAACCAATTTGAATAATTTGATTCCCTCATTTGCTTTTCACTTGAATCTTAAGATAATTTGAGCACGGAATCGACAAACAAGGCAAAAATATATCGAGGCCGATATTTTTGTACGATACTTTATTTCTCGATTTTATAATCAAATTATTTTGCGATACAAGTGGAAAGAAATCGATATTTACGAGTTTTTAGTACATAGTTAAATTGATCTCCATTTTGAAAACGCCCCAATTCCAAGAGTTTTCGTATATAAAGTACTATTTTACGATGAGTAGGTTACGATGAGGTGAAGCTATTCAGGAATTTTCAGACGGATGTTAATAATTTGAGAAAAAGAGGTCGTCTGTATCACGAACTGTATGATATTATGTTTTCCAATACTTAAACTAAAAAAATAAAAATCAGAATAAGTATAATGAGATATCCTTACATAATTTTTTTAAAATTTATTTATTTAGAAATATAATCAGTCACGTGGACAATAATTATAGTGAGATATGAAGAAATTCACACCATATGTTCAGAAAACACACATACATAAAAATATATACATACCTTATATAATAAAATTTTAAAAATAAAAATGGTATTTTTCTTTATTTTTTTTTTAGTTGATAAGATTTATAAGAATGGAAATGAATAAATGTTAGAATTATATAGATAACAAAAAATTAAGTAATATGTAAAGAATAATTTTGAAACGTCAAAACGTTATAAATAATGTGTTGGGAAGTGTAGAATTATAATTTAAAGATTCTATATTATCATAAAAATATGATTTATTTAAAAAAAAATACCGATTAAAGAAATAATTCTATCCATCCTCACCGATTCATGGGATGAAATCTACATACCAGGAGCCATAAAGTCTAATGGAAGACACAGGACTATTACAGCAAATTGAAATTTACCATAGATGTCAATTTTCTTAACAATCTACCAAGGCGTTTAAGTAACTATACAAGTAAATAAATAGTTTTTTTAAATTCAAATATTTCTTTTAATTTTAACGTTTTTAGTTTTATAAGTATTGACAATTTATATCTAACTCATATGATCACATTATATGATAGGAACCTAAAACAAAAAATTGAGAACAGTTAATTTTTGTTGTTGTTGGCATAACAGACTTTTATTTGTATTTGTATTTATTATTTACAGACTTATTTATAGATCTTTTGCCGCCTTAAAAAGCCATCTCCGTCTCTGCCTATCTTGGGCTATTTCTTTCCTGTTATCTGCAAGCAGCTCTGTTGTATGTTTGTTGATTCGATCTATCTATCTGCTTTTTGGTCTTACACTTATTATATTTTAAGGATACTTTAGGAAATATTTGTTTTAGAATTTTTAGTTCGAATTGCAACACAAATCAGCCTAGCCACTCAAAAAGTCATTACACCTTTTAGCCGTTCGATCAAAACAGATTTTCCACAATAATTTGTACGTGTCTTGACCCTGAATTGTATCCTGAAAATTCGTGGGATCTCTCCGAATAGTTTGAGACATCGAACATAAAAATAGGTCAAACAAAAAAAAATGCATATTATTATAGAAAAATCTTTTGATAAATGGACCAACAAAGCCGTTGGTTCTTCTATTTGAATCCAGCACGTATAGAAGATGCATCAGGAGCGAAGACAGAAGAGCTTCCGTTAGAGCATTAGAATGCGGGAGGGCCGAGGAGGTGTGGAATCTATGCGGGGCATGGCAACCAGGCTACAGCGACAAGGCCGACATAACTCCGCTAAAATATCCTTTTTGAAAAACAACTTGTACGTGCTGGCCGTTATGCCCAAACACGTGAGTCATTGTCGTATATCAGCGGGGCTTGCGGAGGCTCGAGGGATTTCCCTTGCTGGGCGAATGTCATTCTTATCTAAGGTTTACATAATATTTTTTAAATAATTATACGAAGTAAAAATTTATGCTTTAGGATTACAACTTGAGCAGCCTTTTGGTTTATATAAAGTAAAATATTACTAAGTAATAATATGTTGCCTATTGAAGGAAATGTAGAAAAAAAAAAAACGCAATAAGCAATACAGAAAGGCGTACTTACTAGGTGAGATGGAGAAGATTAGGTGCACCAATGAAAGATTTAAAAATTGAATGGTACATTTATTGCAACAAAATTACGTACATTATTTTTTTTAAGTATAAGAAAATATTCTTTAAGAAAACAGCAGAACCTTAAAACATAAATCCTTCATGGGACGGAATGTTTAAGATACAGAAGAGTGTTTTCTCATGTACCTAATAAAAATGGTAATATTTCAAACTTGTATTCTTATAACGTTCTAAAACATAAATATATTCTAACATCAGACTAAAACGTAGATGAAAAATAAATTAAAAAATTTTAATTTTTGTTGTATTCCAAAACAAAATTAACAAAAAATATTTCAACAACCGCAATGCAAAAGTCTGTAAGTACAATATAATTAGAATGTGCGGTTTTGAGATTTGTCGGTTAATATTGAACTCGGATATATTCACAAAAACAAACAAAAACCTTATTTACAACATTACATATTTGTTTTAAGCATGCAATAAAAATTGAATAGAAAATCTACACCATAAAACAAGAAATACGCTGTTTATTTCGGCTTATAAATAATTTTATGTTTCGTACTTACAGACTTTTGCAGTGTAGCTGTCGATACATAATTGCTAAAATTATAAGTTTTTCTGAAGGTAATATAATTGAAAATATAATTACCATTAAAATACTGTTTCTTTTGTATATTTTACAATATACGGTGTTCGTAAAAGCCTTTTGAACTAAAAACGCTTTCTGTCATGAAAGTTATTTTATTGATAGATGCTTTTATTTTATCTCTGGAAATCTCGAATTTTATTCATTTAGTTAATCAGTTACAGGTTTGTGATCTAGTCATCATTTTAATGCAACAGACATGTATAAACATAATTTAACAGGACATTTCTATAATTTTGCATTTCGATTAAATTTTATTAAATTGATTTACACAATTTTTTTTCTATTAGCATTGCAGACTTTGCAAATCTTTTGCTGTCTTAACAAGTTTGCTCTATCTCTGCCTATATCTTGGGTTATTTCTTTCTAGCTATCTGCATGCAACTGTGCAGCGGCTTTGTTGATTCTATCTATCCTTTGTCTTCTGTATAAACATTCATTGTTACGTAGAGGTTTCCAGATTAATTGCTCAGAGCTACCTGCCATCTTAACATCTGTCCCTTCATATCATGAGATATTGATTGTCCAGTTTCTGTAAGCAGCTCTTTATTGGTCTTTCTTCTCCAGGTGTCAGTACTATGATCCCAGATAGCTCCAGCTATCGTGCAGATAATTGCTTTCTTAAACCTTTCAATAATTTTTTTCTAGGGCGCTGATTAGATTTCAGATCTTACAACCATATATTCGTACTGGCTTTAACACAGCATTGTGCACCCTTAATTTGAGATTTTTCTGGATTTCAATACCTTTGAAAGGTAGAAGAAAGCTCTCATAGCGCTATATATATATATATATATATATATATATATATATATATATATATATATATATATATATATATATATATGCTGGTCTATTTCTGATAGTTGGTCATTAATTGAGGTTATTGTTGAGCCGAGGTATCTGAATTTTTCTACTATAGGGAAACATTTTCCTTCTACGAACGATTATCCTGTTACTGGGACGCAATGTTTGGCTAATTATCGTATATTTACTTGTTGGCTAGTTTTGGCTTGATTTACTCCGTCCCTCTTATTAGAGACTTAGGAATTTTCTCAGTGTCCTCTTTATTGCTTCCATGGACAGCTATACATCTGTGTATGCAATGATTTAACAATTCATTCTAACGGGGACCTCTCCATTTTCGTGTGACGTTCTTATCATTTCCATCGCTATGCTGAATAACATCGGTGATAGTCCATCTCTCATCGGTAAGTTCTATAATAACTTATACTGAATTATTTTTTAAAATTATGTTTCTGGATTCATTTTATAATTAAGTTCTTTTTGTTTGAAGGTACTTGCATATCAACTATTTTCTCAACACCATCATATTTAAGTAGGAACACTGTTTAAATTTTATAACAATTATTACTTTCTTGATCTTATTTAATTTTTATAAGTCTTTCTGAGAATTAAAAAAAAAGAAAAACTATGTAAACTTCAGTCTGATTAAATTATGAATTAACTTGAGTAGAAAGGAAAACGGAACAGTTAACCGTTAACAGATAAAACTGATTTTAAATATATATAAAGTTCATATACGTTTTTATTTTATTATTTTATATTTCTATTAGAGCAATCATCCGGAGAGGCGAGTCGTGAATAAGGAATGAATCAAAACCCCTGAGCCTTTGAATGGGGCTTGAGAGTCAGGCCATGAATTATTAATGAGTCGAAATCAAAATAAAAGCCAAGAAGGCAAACAAAACACAAATTGTTTTATACACAAATAAATCTGCTGTTGGAATACAAAGGAATGAGGAACAATTCCTCATCCAAGACACGATTACTATTCCCCAGTGGTGCAGCCTGGAGGAGGAGAGAGGCAACTGCACCTTCACAAAGATGACATTATTGTGATCCCCTGCGCAACAAGGACCTGCCGATCCTTTTTTCAATGCTTTTTCCCAACAATACTCCAGCCTTTTTTAAAATACATTTTTAAAAGTGCATTAAGATTTTTCAGCACAATATTTATACTTTCCTGAAATATAAGAAATTTTTTCGTACTTCTTAAATTTCAATATTTATATTGTCAATATTCTTATATGCATTCTAATACTATTTCATATCTTAAAAGTAATATTATCGGTTTCCATGTAAAACTACATAAGTATAAAACATAATGATTTTGGGATATTTTATTTTTGTTTACATTTTATTATCTCGATAGATTGCTTCGTTCTTCTTATTTTAAAAAACATTTCTCAATACGATGTTTTTTTTTTTTTAAATTACTTTAATTTAAAATGATGTAGAGATGGTTGACCGTTAATATAATATGAGAACGAGTTAGTCGAGGGTGCGGTCAAATAAATAAAAAAAATTAAAATATATAAATTATTTTAATTTTTGCCGACGTTTCGACCCACTTTGCAGGTCGCCTTCAGGGCTACAAAAGATATTTTTATTTATTTATTTATATTTTTATTTATTTATATTTTTTTCAACATGTTTGTATCTTTTGTAGCCCTGAAGACGACCTGAAAAGTGGGTCGAAACGTCGGCAAAAATTAAAATAATTTATATATTTTAATTTTTTTTTTTATTTATTTGACCGCACCCTCGACTAACTCCTTCTCATACTTTAATTTAACTTTTTCGTCTCCCCAAAAGTTGGGAGTAAATTGTCATGCGGTTACACTTTCTATTTTTTTTTTTGGTTGTTTGTAGTCCGCGGACAGATTTTAATTAAACATCTCTCTAAAACTTCGGTAACGACTTCATCTTATCGTAATCTGCAACTTTATTATTTCTTTTCAATCTGGAGATCGGTAAACTTCGTCAATTTAACAATGTACCAAAAATTTCTGAAAATATATTTGGTTTTTACTTCAGTCATAAGATAAATTGATCATAAAATCAAGAAAAAAGATGGCCTAAAGCATTGGGCCGTTTGGCGTGACTTACAAACATGTAAAAATAATCAAGTTATACAGGCCAAACGACCCAATATTTCTGTAGACCACCTTTTTTCTCGATTTTTTGATCAAATTATATACGATTCAAGTGAAAAGAAAATGTTATTCAAGAATTTTGCCTCATACCTCATCATATTAATTAATTTTATTTAATTTCCTTGAATTTTCGTAACTAAAAATCGTTTGAGGTTACGATAAGATCAAGGTATGCACAAAATTTTAGAAGTATGTTTATAATTTGATAAAAATGAGTCTATATTCTAAAAATGATATAATATTTGATTATGAAGACGCAGTATTATTAAGTATACGAATTGTTATATTCAATTAGAATTGCCATATAATCATAATTCAACCACTAAATTTATAAGTAAAGTATTTATATTAAAAATAATTTACACTCGGAAGAATATTTTTTGGCGGAAAGGTAGGGTTAAGAAGAGAAGAAGATTGAGCCAAGTTTAATTAGCAAGGTCCGATCGGATCTTGGATGTAATTAATTGCTACCTTTTGGCAATCAAAGCAATTAGCAACAATGTAATTTCGTCGCGGTAAATTAACAGACCCTCAAAGCAATTGCTCAGGAAAAACCAACTCCTCCACACCCTCGTTCCGAACATCGGTTTGGCCAATGATTTCATCAACTCCAAGCTTTAAGAGGATAGCCTTTTTCAATAATCACTAGATTAACAAAATAATTTTCTTTTATCGGTTAATGGTCTAATAATTATTATGTTTGAATTTTTCTAATCAATAATTAGTCAGTAAATTATATGGATACAATAAATAAATTTTATTAATGCATTTATACATTAATAAAAACAACCGTCCTATAATCATCGACTCCTATGCTCCTATGGGAACTTGTAAGAACAAGGATTGCTTGTTAGAATCAGATCTGGTGGGATTAAAATTTGTTTCGTGACGAAATCACGGAATGAATCTAGACCTTCCCACCGTGGTTAGAATAGGTTTGGTTGTACCTTTAGAATCATTTTTCTCCCATACTTGTTTGTGGCAGAAATAGTGAGGCACAGAAAAAGATAAATACGGCAACTTTGCAACTCCTAAAGTTTTTATTTATATTTTAATAGAATTTTATTATCATTAAAGAGATCATACCTACACAGTTTTCCATGAAATTATACGCCAATGAAATAGACTTTTGCTTACAAAGTTTTTCAGGTTTTATTCGGGATATGTTTGAAAATTGCTTTAAGGATATAACTTAATAAAAGTTCAATTAGAACATTGCAGCCGTAGAAAAAAAACAACTAACGAAATGGATGTACTCTCTCTAGAGAAAATATTTGCACAAGGCTAAAAATTCATTTTTGGTCTCAAGAAGCATTGAAACACATAGAGTAGTTATAAAATACTCATCGAATATTTTATCCGATTACAATGCTTTCCTAATTTTTTCTACCTCCATGTACTCTCATTCCATTTGATCTTCTTTATGTATTCGTTTTAGAAGTTTATCGTGATGTTCCAGAGAAAGAGATAAATCTTTTTTTCCCCGTGATATAATAGGTTTTATGAGCAGTGCCCCCCATTTTCATGGGACTTTTACTATAGCTGGAAGGATAATAAGCTGCTAGGAATGGGCACTCAACTTCTAGTCCAGCTGGGGCTACGGCATTTATGATCCCGTATACTTCCAGAATATCCGGCTTAGATGATGAAGTTTCACTCGAGTATTAATGTAAATAGGGTTTATAATGAGGTATAAGTACGTTTAGTATGTCGCACTTGACCGGATTTTTACAAGTTCATCACGGCTATTGAAAGCAAAGAAATAAAATCGTTATTAAACATGATATGAAATAATATAAATACTTTATAAATAATATTAATATGATAATAATAATAATATGATATAAATATCCTTGCTAGCAAGTATTGGATTTTATACTTCTTGACAACAGTCACCTCTCATTCAGACGCACGGCACTCAATTTTCGTCATTTAGATATAGATCTATCCCTCTGGACGGACACTTAGAAAGTATTGAAAATTAAGAAATCCATATTTAATATTTTTGCTAAAATACTTTAATGCATTCCAATCTTTATTAGTTATACATCTTCCTGGCTCACAATAAATTTGCCATCTACCTCGGTATTCAGCAAACATGATATCAAGGAGAAGAAATGATATCATCATTTCATATTCAATCTTAAAGTTGTTATTCTTTAATTAATTAAATAGTTATCGTCTTCCACACTATAAAAATGAAAACACCATTATGGTAAATGAACCAGTAATAGACACTTTTCAACTCATTAACATGTAATAAGCTTTATACGCCCAAAAGAAAGTGTAAATACTAGTAGATTTGAAGCTAGAATACTTAATACTACTGCCTGAACCTAGTGTTGCCCGAATGCCAGACCGAGACGAGTCTTGGCAATGGTCTTGGTCTTGCGCAACAGTCTTGCAGTTACTTATTAGCTTATTACTATCAAGATATTACTGTGATTTGTTAGATAGGAGAAAGCTAACTAAGTCCGAATGAAAAATTAGACGACTTAAATGCAAAAGAATATTGGTTATGCCAATTATTAAGATATAGTAACTAAGATTGTCAAGTATTAGTAACTATTTTGCCTTCATTTTTATTAAAAAATTTTTTTTTTTTTACCAGTTCTGGTCTTGGTCTTGCAACAGTTAGGTGGCCTTGGTCTTGGTCTTGTAAAGTGCAAGACCAAGACCGATTTTGGGTAACACTATCTGAACCTTGAGTGATATTACGCAGCAACAGCAGGTTGTTTTTAAAGTTGATTTTTTAATGGAGCAAGATCTTTGTTTCAGGAAAGTTTCCTTATCATTTTCTTTAGGAAGTAGGTTTGAAATTTCGATCCATTCATCTGTAGTTAGCCATTTCCTTATTTAAAACTGTGGAGATATTATTTTGGGCTTCTTAATTAAATAAAAAAATTGTTGACCCCAATATGTGTGAGTTTATCACTGTTGCAAAATACTCTGCCAGGATTTCTTACATTTTTTATGAATAATAAAGTAATTGACGGTATAGAAAAAACGAAGATGGTAAAAGACTAACTTTTTTTATCAATTAAACTCATTTTCAAATATACACTGTTGGATCTAAAGTTGCGGTCAACATGTTGAAAACATCTCTTAAAGTGTCTATTACCGGAACCTTATTAGGGCAAATTTTATAGATAAAAGTGTTGTTTTTTTTTTTCCAAAAAGCGATGGTTTATAATGAAAAATAACTTACATTCATGATGGAGAAACAATAATAAGGTGCAACGATGGGCTGCCCAAAGTTCTCTAACCGAATCTTCTAAGGTCAATTTGGCAGTGCCCTTCTCAAAGACTCACACCGGTTTAAGGACAGTGAATAATCGGAGAAGATCCCAGAAAGTAGGCTGTTTAAGAGTCAGTAGGCGCGGGATAACCTATATTTATTTCTTTGAAACATACCGACTAAGGACTTAATCGTATCGATAAAACACATATCAATATAGCCCATAGATCCAAGGGAACTGGATAATTTTTTATTTTTTAGATCAGAATTTGGTATATATATTAGAAAACAGATAACTAATTCAATAAATAAACCTTTATTCAATCATAGTAAAACCATCCTTTGCTGGATACAATGATCGATCACCTGATATTCTTAATTTATTTAGTTTCCCTAAGAACTCACAATAAGAAGAAAATCACATTGCAAAATCGGATATTCAGAAAAAAAAAAATCTATAAAATTGCGTAAAATTCATGTAACAAAATGATAGGTGCATAATCTACCTTTACTGTTGGGCTTATTTTTTTTGGATTATTTGCTTAAAATTGTCATAAACTTCTCAATATGAAACATTGTGCTTTGGAAACGTGTGCTGGTCTCATGTAGCCAAAAATAACTCAAATCATCCCCTGATAGCACAAGAAGGCTTACTTCAAGCCGTATTTTTGAGAAGTCTTCGTTCTTTGGCGTGAGTTCGATTACCGGTGTTACTAACCTATGTCGTCTAAATAAACTTCCACTGATGCGCACGAGATTCAATCTAAACTAATAAAGCGGTGGTATTTAAGTTAACATCATCATTATGTGGTATCGTGTGCCTGGAGGACCGAAGCGGCCATTCTTCACGGATGAGCTCGAGTACCCTCAGGTGGCACGCTCTCAATCCACGCGAGGAGCACTTAACCATCCATGTCAAGGGCTAGCTGCTTCTTAACGATCTAATCCTTGACAGGATAAAGGGGTCTACTGGGTCGATTATAATTATATTTTATGAGAATTTTTACAGTCTATCGTTAAAATAAAAAGTTTAAGTTATTAAAGATGAGAATTTTGGTTTCTATTTAAAATTAAATGTGATCTATTTTATTTATCTATATATAAAATATATCTATCTTATTCTGATAAATAAATGATATATATTATTATTATTACTATATAATCTAATACAACTAACCAAATACACTGATACTAGTGAAGGAAATAGTCCGGCATCTGGGCCCTATCTTAGTCGTTTTTACCAACTCCTATCGACTACCTTGAGGTTACTTCCTCGTACTTACCGCAGTGGGAATGTACGGGGCGGGGTGGCCGAGCGGACTAACGCGCGTTCACAGCATCGTGTGTTGAACAGCAACCTGATAACCGAAGTTTGAGATAAAAAATAATTACTAGTTCAAATCTTGATGCTCGGTGGGACTTTTAACTCGGCGTAAATCCCCGCCCAGAGGAAACCTCCGCATAACCTAAAAAGAATCATATTCATTTTTTAGAAGAGCCAATTTTCCATAACGTTTAGCTTTTTTTTTGGGTCCTCACCTTTAAGGCTATACGGGGTTGTCCCGATAATGCGTTGGTATTAATCAGTATATTTAAAGAATAAATAAATAAAACTTAAATAAGACATATAAAAAACTGAGTACTTTACCAACCCTAATATTTACATTACTTTATTATTGAATATAAATTAAAGTGTTATACTTTAATAAGAGATAGAACAAAGTGAGTATTCAGAAGTATATAAACTTCCGTAGTGATATTTACGTGGTATCAGAAATACTTTAACAATTACTCAATTGTTTTCAATAGTTATAGTCCATGGTATAGAATCCATTTTATCAAATTATTAACATCCGCCTGAAACTTCGTAAATAGCTTCATCTCATAGTAAGCTACAACTATTTTATCTATGAAAGTTCTTGAAATTGTGTTGTTTTCAATCTAGAGATCGGCAAACTTTGTCTACTTAATTAGGTACTAAAAACTCGTAAATAGTCATTTGCTTTTCACTTGAATCGTAAGATAATTCAAGAAAAAAAGGTGGCCTTAAAAAATATTGAGTTGTTTGGAGTGACCTACACTCCCAAAAATGTCAAAACAATGGCCAAATCATCCAATATTTTTGTAGGCCACCTTTTTTTCTCAATTTTGTGATCAAATTATCTTAAGATCTAAATGGAATGCAAATGAGTATTTACGAGTTTTTAATTAAATAGAAAAATCTAGGTGATCTGCAGATTGAAAACGACCCAATTCCAATAGTTTTCGTAAATAAAATAGTTGTAGGTTATGGAGAGATGAGGTTATTCGCTAAGTTTCATAACTATTGAAAACAATTGAGTAATTATTAAAGTTTTTACGATGCCACGCAAATATCACTACGAAAGTATCTATACTTCTGCATACTCACTTTGTTCTATCTCTTATCAAAGTATAACACTTTAATTTACATTAAATAATAAAGTAATGTAAATATTAGGGTCGGTAAAGTACTAAGTTTATTATATATCTTACTTAAATTTTGTTTATTGATTTTTTAAATATTCTGATTAATACCAACGAATTTTCGATAACAAACCTATATCGGAACAAAAGTGTCGATATTGATTTTATGTTTCGTTCTTATTTCTGTGCCCCGGAGGTGAAATACACCATGACTATTTTTTTTATTTAATAATTTAAGAACTTTTTTTATTTAAACTTTATTTATTGAACAATAATACAATAAGCCACTGTAATTTAGTAACTAAGAAACAAATTTAAATAGCTCAAGGTTAGCCAGGCAACTTGATATATAATATAAATAGATGAAAATAGTCAGGAGTTCGCGTCCCGTTGCCGGGGGAATCTCTTAATTCTGCCATCTATCCTCGCCCTCACTCCCTGGCTCGGGAAAACCCCGTATAGCCTTAAAGGCGAAGACCCAAAAAAAAAAAGCTAAAAGTTATGGAAAATTGGCTTTCCTATAAATAGTATTTGGTTGTATGAGGTACCGATTCGATCAATGACTTTACAGAATTTTGAATTGATCAATGAAGTATTTGAATAATTGGCAGAGAATCAAAGTTCGGGTCCCGAAATGGATGAGATCGTGAAAAATTTAGAGAAGGAGTAGAAGCAGAGGCTGACAGACGTCCGAGAATAAGTTATTCAAACGGTAGGAACCCCTGATGGCTTTTCCAATTCCATTATAATTTCAATCTTGGGTTACCTTGGCCCATCCCCTGTAACACATCCCAATCCCATCTGCATCCAAATTACTTCTGCTTATGTTAAATCAATTTTCCATAAATGGCTCGTTGGCTCTCTACCCACTAATAATTCCAAATGCTATTATTGAAATATCTTCTGCCCTCTATGACCGACCATTTCGTTTAATCTTTCCTTTTAATATTTAAATGTTTCTCATCTAAGTAGTTATAACATTTAAACTGTATTTTAACCATAAAAATCCTGAACATTATTACCCCCAATTTATTTTTTCCAAATAATGTTAAATCTCTGTTTATAGAAATCCCATAAATCGAAGAGGAATTAAAAAAAAATCTCTATATCAAATAAATTGTCAACTAATTCCAGTACAAAAAATCGCATGGTTTATCGATCTGTGAACAAATGGCATTTTAAATTAAGCTAATATCATTTCTTAAGAGAAGGAGAAATTCAAAATAATACACAAAAATATATGTAAAAATTCGTTTTTTTTGTGTTGTGGTTAGTATATATTTATTGTACTCATATAAACTAATCACTTCTGTATATTCATATATGAGTTTATTTATTTTTCTATGGCCTATGGGCAGCAAGCTTTTATATTTTATATGAAAATAAAGTGTTTCTCTCTTATTTAGTAGGTAATTATTCCTAATAATTAATATGAATCATCCCTGATGTGTAAATTGTACACACTAATTATTTTATTATAATACTAAACAAATATCACCTTTTTTTCATTATAATTATTCTTAGGGGACTAAATGTCCCAGAATAAAATTTACTCTTTGAATAATGTTTCCTTTTCTTATGACTTCTTTTTCTGACATTAGAAGAATATTTTTTAAATTTATTTATAAAAGATTTATTTGAATACATATTGTTTCATTTTTTTCAGTGCTTAAAGGATTTCAGGAACATTTTATTGATGGATACTAGGGGGATAACCAATGTGGACCAACCCCCATTTTAAAAATTATACCACGGTTCATTTAATTATACTATACTTTTCTCAAATTTATAACTATAATTTACATGTATTCAGTAGATCAGATTTTATTATGTTTTATCAATCTAAAATAAACTGAACGAAACCACAGTTTGGACAAACTTTTTTATTTTTTTTAAACATTTATAGTATAAACCCAACATAAATTTGAATCTTTTATTTATAATATTTTCATTGCACGTTGATTGAGCTTCCTTTTCTATTTCATAATAATTATGATTATATAATAATATAATATAAATACTACCAGGTATAATATAATAATGAATGTATTCTATTGAAGGGGAAAATGTCTAGAACAAAAAATAACAGCTCTCACCTAGGCAAAATCAAACTACCACCTCCAAATTAATTCCATATGCCATACAAATATTTGGTCTGAAATATTTATTATGTATTAGGAGAGTAGGAGGTTAGAGGAGCTCAATACTGTAACGAAGGTACCTGAGTATGAATTTATATTTTGTATTAAGACAATAGGAGTGTAAAGGAGCCCAGCTTATATGTAATTAAATGAACAGCTCTATAATTATTGCTGATTATAGAGCTATTAGGAGAACTCCTACTCTCCTAATACTAAAATAAAATAAAATATGAAAGTCGCTAACAACTTTTTTATATAATAGAGTGATGGTATTTATTCGTTTTAGATCAGTGAGAACCTTTAAACGGCATGAATTCCCGGGAAAGGCTAAGAGGATCGGGTAATTCATAGGGATCCATGTTACCAAGGCAGCCATGAAACCTGATAAGGAGGAATTTAATATTGTAACGATAAAAGGAGAGGGGAGGCCACTTCTCTATGGGATTATCTATCGACCAATACGGTTAGGCTTCTCATTAAAGATTTATCTGGCAGACCAATCAGGTCCTTTGTAGTATCGGATAGCTTTGTCGGTCGCCAGCTTTTTTTTAAACCCAAGCAGCAAGAGTGAATTAGTTTGCCGAGATTTTCTTTTATTAACAAATACCAAGAACATTAAAAAAAAAAAACGAAAAAATATCATCATAATAATAAATTGCACCACCATGTTCTTCATTTGATTTACGCAATATAATTTAAATTTTTATATAATAGTTGGATATTTGAAGTTGGGATATAGTGTATTAGGAAATCAGAGTTGAAAGAATATGAATATTAATTAACCTATCGATTATTTGATCAATTTGAATTTAAAGCTATATTATAAGACAGCCAAACAAAATAAATACTTATAAAGCATATTGATCAATACATTAAAAAAATATTATATTTTTGTATCATATTTTGTAGATGTATATTGATAGTTTTTTTTTTTTTTTTTTTTGTTTAATTGAGTATTAATACAGTCTACCACACTGAAGGGCATTGGTAGGAGGGGTATAGTATTCTTATTAATAGTAATGATTAATATTTATATATGACTAATATAATATTTAAAAATTGGTTTAATAGCATCATAATATTTGTATTTTTATTCAAACTAGGCAACTTTAAAAAATGATGAGACCAGACTCGTATGGTGACATAAATTTTAAAATGTAAAAAAAAAATTAATGATTTCCTCTAAAAAAACATCTAACACTTTATAACCTATTACTTGAAATGCTCATTACTAAAATTTTTAACCATCATGTTATGACTTCTGAATGGAAATAGTTTTCGATCAAGTTCTATTGATTAAATTTTTTTTACCATAAACAATTTT